GAATTCATAATCTCTCTCTCACACACACGCACACACTCTCTCTCACACTCACAACACACACACACACACACACACACACACACACACACACACACACACACACACACACACACACACACTCACACACACACACACACTCACACACACACACACACACTCACACACACTCACACACACACACTCACTCACTCACACACCACACACTCCACACACTCACACAGGAAACACCAGAGATCTGGTAGACGAACCAGGGAGGAAGATGGGAGTTAGAGCTCCAAAAAAGGGAGGAAGAGTGGGGAAGGAAGATAGTAGAGCTTGGTAAGAAAATGGAGGAGCGGAGAGCTGAAGAGTGCAGGAAGTGGGAAGTACAGGTCTTAGCAGCAGAAGCTAGGATACATGCTTAGAAGAGAACGCAAACCCTGAAAAGATTAGAGAGACAAATGACAATTCAGATGTGACATCAGGAAATTCAAAGTCAGGCGCGACAAGGGGACGGAAAGCAACAACGGAGACATGCGTCACAAAGGCCAAATCAGACCCCGTGGGCCAGGGAAAAAAAAACAAATGAGCACACTAAGACAAACGACAGGCCCGAAGACAATGAAGGTTTGTATATGCAGAGATTCAAAACAGCCAACTGCAGTAGCAAGGGACAGCTGGTAGGAAAGACAGTTCACTGAGAATAGAAGTTTCAGATATGACAGGGATGAAGGAAGAACATGTCAAGGAAGGAAATAAAATGCCTAAAGAGGAAGCGGGATGGAGACTTCAGTGGGAGAGGAAAAGGGCGAGGTCAGTTTTTGGTACGGGCTCAAGAAGCCAAGGGGGACAACTTTGAAGAAATAAAAAGGAGAAAAAAATGATTGAAGGCATCATAAAACAAAAAGGGGAGGGCAATATGACCCGGGTGACAAAATTTTCAGAGAATTGGGTGGTTTGCGGAAGGTGGAAAGGATACGGCCTCGTCAGAAGGTAACTTCAAGGGAAGAACCAGTTGAACCAGGATTGCAAAGAGAAAGCAAGATGGGGGCCCAAAGGGGGTCCCAGAGAGTTTACTCGACCGCGACCAGAACACAAGAAGAAGGACTAACTGAAAGAGAGGTACCGAGACGAAAAGGAGGAAACGAGAAGAAATTGAAAATGAGCAGGACCCAGACACAGGAGGAAGGGCAAAACACCCCAAGAATCTCCACCAAGACTCCACCCGGACATTCCCAACGCAACTGAGCAAACCTATACTACAACCCACTCACTGTTCCCTCTGCCACCAACCCCATATCACAAACCTCACCCCAACAGTGTCCTATGGGCATTCTGACCCACCCCATCAACACAAACCCACCTACACCACAGCCAATATAGGCCCCCACCAAGGTCTCGCTCCCCACACCCCAATATTCTTGCATGACACAATGATAGAAAAGAAACTAAAGGTTTGGTACACAAACGCGGAGGGAAATAACGAATAAACATGGGGTGGAATGAAAGAATCAGTGAAAATCCCCGACTCTAGCAGTCACAGAAACAAAACTCGCTGAGACAATAACAGACACAATCTTCCCAAGGATATCAGATCCTGGGGAAAAAGATAGGAGTAGAGGGAGGAGGGGTTGCACTGCTCATAAAACACCAATGGGATTTGAGGAATGGAAGGATGGACATGATTGGAGAAAGAGACTACATTGTAGGTACAATTCAGTCGGAAAGAACATAAAAATAGTCATTGGAGTGATGTTAACCCACCACAGAACGCAGGAGGCCAAGAGAGGAGTACGAGAAAACAACAGGGGTGATGGTGGACACACTGGTTGAGGTGGCAAGAAGAGGGCTCACTCGAGCAGAGAAAAGTTACTGGTAAGGGCGATTTTTACCCCACAGGGGACGAAGGGAAAACCCTGGAGCCACATGGGGTCCGAACATGGAGACCCAAAGGATGATGGAGGGTGGTATTTGAAAACCTCATGCATCAACAGCAGGGACACAACCGAGAGAGAGGGGGGAGGGAGCCAGCAAGACTGGGTTTCTTGTGATTCACCCTGATTATTATTTTATTATAATCAAAAAGAAGGTAAGCCACAAGGGCTATACAGCTGTGTTCACCCTGAGCAGTTCAGACTTTGAGGACATCACTTACGAGAGGCCCCTTGGAGCTAGCGATCATGTTGGTTCGGGGTTTTGGACCTATATAGTAGAGTTACAAGTGGAGAAGGTAACAGGAACTGAAGGGGACAGGCCAAACTATAAAAGGGGGGACTACACAGGTATGAAAAACTTCCTGCAGGAGGTTCAGTGGGACAGAGAAATGGTAGGAAATCAGTAAATGAGATGATGGAAATGTGGCAACAAAGTGCAGGAGGCAGAGGAAAGTTTTTTTCCCCAAGGAAACAGAAATAATAGGAAGACCAAAACGAGTCCTTGGTTTACCCGAAGGTGTAGGGGGGCAAAAACTAAGTGCAACAGAGATGGAAAAGGTACAGGAGGCATAGGACCCAGGAAAACAAGGAGATTAGTAGAAGAGCCAGAAACGAGTATGCGCAGATAAGGAGGGAGGCCCAGCGACGTATGAAAACGACATAGCATCGAAAGTCAAATCTGACCCGAAACTGCTGTATAGCCACTTTAGGAGGAAGAAACAGTCAAGGACCAGGTGATAAGGCTGAGGAAAGAAGGTGGAAGAACTCAAAAAGAAACGATCAAGAGGTATGTGAGGAGCTCAACACGAGTTTTAAAGGGAAGTATTTACGTAGAGACAGGAAGACTCGGGGGGGGACAGACCAGATGGGGACACCAGCAAGGAAATACACCAACAAGTGTTGGAAACGACATTACATACAGATGAGGAGGAGGTGAAGAAACTGCAAAGGGACATCGATACCTCAAAGGCAATGGGACCGGAAAAACATCTCCCCCGTGGGTCCTTAGAGAGGGGAGCAGATATGTTGTGCGTGCCACTTACCACAATCTTCAACACATCCCTGGAAACTGGGCAACTCCCTGAGGTATGGAAGACGGCAAATGTAGTTCCCATTTTCAAAAAAGGAGGACAGAAAAGAGGCACTAAAATATAGACCGTGTCATTGACGTGTATAGTATGCAAAATTATGGAGAAGATTATCAGGAGGGGGGTGGAGCACCTGGAACGGAACAGGAGTATAAATGCCAACCAGCACGGATTCACGGAAGGGAAATCCTGTGTCACAAAACCTTCTGGAGTTTTATGATAAAATAACAGAAGTAAGACAAGGAGAGAGGGGTGGGTTGATTGCATCTTCTTGGACTGCAAGGAAGGCCTTTTACACAGTTCCTCACAAGAGATTAGTGCAGAAGCTAGAGCATCAGGCGCATATAAAAAGGAAGGGGACTGCAATGGATCAGAGAATACCTGACAGGGAGGCAACACGAGTCATGGTACGTAATGATGTATCACAGTGGGCACTGGACGAGCGGGGTCCCACAGGGGTTCGGTCTAGGACCAGTGCTATTTTTGGTATATGTGAACGCCCTACGGAAGGGTTAGACTCAGAAGTGTCCCTGTTTGCAGATGATGTGAAGTTAATGAGGAGAATTAAATCTGATGAGGACCAGGCAGGACTTCAAAGAGACCTGGACAGACTGGACACCTGGTCCAGCAAATGGCTTCTCGAATTTAATCCTGCCAAATGCAAAATCATGAAGATAGGGGAAGGGCACAGAAGACCACAGACAGAGTAAAAGGCTAGGTGGCCAAAGGGCTGCCCAAAACCCCACTCAAGGAGAAAGATCTTGGGGTGAGTATAACACCGAGCATGTCTCCGGAAGCACACATAATCAGATAATGCTGCAGCATATGGGCGCTGGCAAACCTGAGAACAGCATTCCGATCCTTTAGTAAGGAATCATTCAAGACACTGTACACCGTGTATGTCAGGCCCATACTGGAGTATGCAGCACCTGTTTGGAACCTCCCCTTGATAAAGCACGTCAAGAAAAATAGAGAAAGTACAAAGGTTTTGCGACAAGGTTAGTTCAGAGCTAAGGGGAATGTCCTATGAAGAAAGAAATCGGCCTGCGACACTGGAGGACAGGAGGGTCAGGGGAGACATGATAACGACATATAAATACTGCGTGGAATAGACAAGGTGGACAAAGACAGGATGTTCCAGGGAGGGGACACAGAAACAAGAGGCCACAATTGGAAGTTGAAGACACAAATGAGTCAGAGAGATAGTAGGAAGTATTTCTTCAGTCATAGAGTTGTAAGGCAGTGGAATAGCCTAGAAAATGACGTAGTGGAGGCAGGAACCATACACAGTTTTAAGACGAGGTTTGATAAAGCTCATGGAGCGGGGAGAGAGAGGGCCTAGTAGCAACCGGTGAAGAGGCGGGGCCAGGAGCTAGGACTCGACCCCTGCAACCACAAATAGGTGAGTACAAATAGTTGAGTATACACATACACACACACACACACAAAATTATCCAGTTTTTTGGGTAATAAAACATAACCAGGAATGATTGGTCATGATTTACAGCATCCCAATAATTAAATTAGATCCATTAAAAACCCATAACAAAAATACCAAGGATATTAGGGGCCTTACCCCTCCTCAAGAAAATTGGCAAAAATAAACTAAACATAAGGTCAGTCTTGCTTTTCCCATCATACACCATGTGGGACGGAATTATTTTTTTTTATACTTACGGCACAGACCCATGTTTTCATATCTAGGTCAAAATTCACTACTCACAGTTTATCTGAGGGAGCTGCACTCAAAACATAGATCTATGTTAGGGACTCTGGAATCTATAATGTAGACCGACATGACAGCCACTCAAAGAGTTAAACAGCAGCCATTTCTTTTTTCCTAAATACTGGCCCTCTCCTACCCTACTCGTCCACTGAACTGCTCTCTGGCAAGCAAACACATACATCTCTGTATATTTCTTTATGTTAACTGCAACACAAAAATAGCTACAACACTAAAATAGCTTTTATGGTACAGGTGCATTAAAACACAACAAGATTACCTGACCAATATTTATTCACCATAGTAATAGAGCAGTGAATATGTAAACCAAAATGCTGCCTTCGTCAACAGACAGACAGGAGACATGCATAACTCAAGCGATCAGCAACCATCACCCTACTAATATCAGGCTTCAATAAAGCACAATTCCTTGTTTTTAATACACTGTATATGAAATTTGCTTTATTGAAGAATAATCCAATGTACAATAACACTACTGACCACTATTATATGGTTATAAGAGGAACAGTGATGGTTACATAGTTCTTACTGTGTGTATCATATGCCTCTTCACATACAGCAGTTTAGAAACTAAATTGATGAAATCCATTTACCCATTCCTTTAAAATTAATTTAAGTTTTTTATAGCATACCAGTTAATATATTGAGGATCTCAGGCCTGATAGTGCCAATCCCTGCTCACTTTTAAGGTGGAGTGACTCAGGTTCTTATACCTCACACCTTAAAATTGCTGCCATGACTGTCCGATGAGTACTGGCAAGAAAATAATATCTACCATATATCAGCAATAGCATTACAACTTAATATTTTACATTAAAGCATTAACCAAATGTATATTTTTTGGCAATATCTACAAACCAATTTTTACATTCTACATAAAATGTACAAAGTTGAAGTGGATTTGTGTATATCTTTGGTTTATACGAAAATATAGAGAAACAAGACTTAGGCACCCTCCATTATACTTAATAATAAAGCTTCTCATTTGACTTGATTTTAACCCTAAATACCTAGTGCAAATAGCAACAAAATAAGTAACAAAGCTATCAAAGTGTACAGAAACAATGCACTTAGAGATTGCACAAAGCATACATAAACCAGTATTTTCATTACACAATAATTACATCTTTGACTCCGTATCTATACATCACAAGGAGAAACACAGACTTACTACCTACTCTGCAACATGACCTACAGGTATGTAAAACATAACAAGGGAGACTTGGCCATCCTCAACTGCAACAAAATATATTTTTTCACAGGAATTTCTACAACACAAGGATCCTAAGCTCACATCTACAAGGTAAAAGGTCTAGTACTAGTAAAAGATGAACAGCTGGCACTGCTGTGGCAAACAGCGACATACGGAATCATTAAAAAAATTCTCAGGAAAAGTGACTGTCATTAAGACTGGCTGACCACAGTATAAGAACACTTATGTCTTCACTTGAATATTGAGCTTGATCATCAAGACCTTTTAAGCTGACTACTAAATTTGCGCAGTCTTTCAATCCACCCGTAATTGCACTGGAAGTGTTTGGTTAGAGCTGCGACAGCAGTCATTCCATTCTTGAGGCAGATTCAAACTAAGTAACCATGAAGAACTCAAAAATATTATGGGCTGTCTATTGTGTTCCTCAAGATACATGGAAAAAATCCTAGCAAAGTGAAAAGATTAAGTTTATAAAAAAAAGCTAAAAAAATAACAGGGGAACACTTAAGGCAATCCATGGATCATGCAGGAGAGGATGAGGAAGAAATACTTAGTTAGAGGGACAGTTAGTAAGTTCCTTATAGTATAACAAAGTATACTCGGCCTTACTTTGAGCGTCACCCCAGAGGGACTGGCTAATTTAAATAAAGCTTAATTGAAAATGAAATATAAGCAAAGAAAATTCCCAAAAGCATAAGAATAAAAACCCTGTCCCAAGTTACTCTACTACATAGTATTTTCATGTTAAACAAATATTTAAATTAAAAAAAAAAATAATTTTTATGTTCTTCAACAATCCAAGAATAACAAATTGAATAATCTCAAATGTTCTAATTTAAAAAAAAAAAATTCAAATTACTAGAATTGGCCAAACAACTGCTTGAAGAACAAAAGTGCTTCAAAATTGTGCTGGTGTACTTTTCAAAAATTATTTTTGTAAATTCTTGGATAATTTTAGATGTTTATAAACTAATATATGAAAGCTTTCAAGTTCAAAGAAGTGCATGAGGGTGCAGGAGTAGCCAGTCTCTCAACAAAACCCGTCAGAGCCAACAGCCGCTGACGCTGCTAACATAACCAGGACACTGAGGGTGGTGGTGTGCAAGTGCTGCTGTCCACTCTACCAACTGTCATCATTCCGAATGTGAATCACACAAAGTTTAGTTTCTCTCTCAATGAATTAGAACACTAGACACTTCCTCTATGGTTACACATAACAATGAGGCACTAAAAACAAACTAGTAACAAAGTTCGTAATATTTATCTGAATACTGATGACAATAGTAGAGTGTACAGTATTTGGAGAATGAATTATTAGTTAAAACAAACATCATGATCTACCATAAACTATATTACCTGGACAGTTATACAATATGAATACCAGAACGTTAGTTAAAATCTGTATTTTTCAGCACAGTGATTTAAATAAAGTAAAACAGTTCATCTGTTAAACAGTACAATATTACATGTATGGCTATTATAGCCATTTATTTTTATGTAGTGAGATAATATATCAATGTGAAGTTGTAAATTTAACTGTCAGTGCCAAAATAGTTTTTTAAATTAGTGCCTACCAACCAACCCTGAAGAGGAAAGATGTTAAGTGCAATAAGGAAACTTCGAGACTGCAGTAACTTGATGCTTTATATTATCATACTTGCTCCAAACTCTGTCTTCCAGTCAAAATAACAAGACACCATATTGCCCATATTCCAGTGCTATTGTCTGCCAACCTTCAACTTGGAAGAAAAGTTACAACTTACTCTCATAGTGGTTTTTGATGAGAAGATCAAGATAGTTGATAGCATGAGCAGGGATGAGAGAGAACAGTTGGCATGACATGTGAAAAGAAATGATTTCCACTGGATTATTTTGAAGATATCAACCATCATTGATGATGAACTTTTAAAAGTAACAAAATTTTGTCAACGAGAAAAATGACAGGAAGGATTATGTGCATAAGGTGGATAATACTACTAAAAATCATGTACAAGTTCCTTGAAAGTGCTTTGTTGCAGGTTTATGAGTAGCATATAAAAGGTCTTAAGCTATAGATACTGGCATTGCTCTCAAATGTCCTTTTGTCATTTGCTACTTCCTCGAAATATATTTTAGCTTTGAGCTCAGTGACTGACCTTTTATATTGGAATGGATAATGGGGGGTATGAAATGCAACATTGCATATCCTCTCAGGCATGTTTTGTTTTGAAATAACATTTTTTTCTTTTATCACTGGGAATATCTCAATCACTTTACACTAAAGCTATTCATCAATAAATTTCAAGTACCACAGCACCCAGAATAGTAAGGACCTGATCTGTTATCTCCTGCATATCTTCAGATGCAGTTATCTCTTATCCCTTGCTTCAAAGCTAATGTTCTCATTGTTCATGAATGATGACAGAAGCCCTAGGTACGAGTCCCTTTCGATCGTTGTGGCAGCATAGGAGGTAACGATCATCAACCTCCACCACAACTGTAAGAATATCTCCACGGTTGAAGCTGAGATGACCATTATCAGTGGCTAGGCGGTGATGGAGTGTCTGTACCAGTCTGAAATATCCAGAGTTGGTGATATTAATAACTATAAGTTACAATAAAAAATTAAATCTTATTGCAGTAGTTGTACAGCATACAACTTTATAAATTCATGATAATTTCTTTGTGTGTGCTTAGTATCAAATAAATTGGATTATTAATAAATATTACCATAATTACAAAAAAATATACATATACTGTTTACTACGATTATCAAGCCCTTGTGTGAAAATGTGTTTAGATTAGACTTTTGCATAACCTCAGAAATCTCAGACAGTATGTGTAAGCTAAATATATCTAATACAGAATCAATGTTATATACTGTTCACCAAAACAAAGAACAATAACTATTATATTTTCCTCAAAGTGACTTCAAAGATTTGTCTTGAGGGCAAAAGGCATGTGATATCAAAGCACAAACAAGGACTACCTTAGACTATGGCACGACAGATGCTGTTGCCACACAAGAAACTGGTGTTTGGCTTATATTAATCAAGAGAAGATGAGAAAAGCAAAATCAACCATCTTTTGCAAACATGGAAACTACAAAGCATGCAGATGCTCATCACATTCAATGCTCATCTTTTTATGCTCAGATAGGGTTGAAACTTTCATTTGGTAGTCTCTGCTCTAAAAAAGAATGGACACTGTTGGCAAAGTATTTCAATCAGTGAACCAATTTAAATGAGCTATTGAAAGAAACTAGGTCATCCCAACACCAAAAAGTTAACTAACATGCCAGATGTGCTGGGCTACAGTAGAGAGAGAAGTGACACACCAACATATGGTGCTAAAGATGAATTTAGTTTCCAATTACTAATGAACTTAGTGCCGTATCATACGAGTCAAGTGCAATACATTACCTTTGTAACCAAGAATTGTTTTCTTGATATTATGTAAGGAACGGTGATATGGTGCTTTCTTCTTTGTGCTTTGAGATAGTGCTGTATTAGCTGCATTACTGTGATTCAGTTCATGAGAATTCCTATTATAAAATAGGTCTGATTGTGGACAAGATAGAAAATGCCTTCTGACTGAAAAAATATTCAAGAATTGCTGAGGACACAACTCTTATTTTGTAATATCTTACTATAAATCTGTATTTCACCTTCTCAGGAAATAAAGTATTAAATTACAAAATAAAAAATTCCACAACCATACCTATTTTATTGGTTGTACTACTACCTACTTGGGCGTATCTCCAGGTGCAACACGTCTCCCGTGGCTAGCCGACCGTGGTTGTCCACCATACCTACGCTGCCCATCATACCTGCCACTAGTACTGTTGCTTTTGTCTCCAGTATTAGGCACTCGGCCAGGCACGGAGGAGGCACGAACGACGTTACTGTTGACTGAGTTAGGACGTGGTGTTAATCGTGAACGAACTGAAGGGAGTCTTGCAGCTGTGTTGGCATGATCATCACTTGGAGAATTCAGAGTGGTTGCCATATCTTTCAAAGATCGTCTGGGAGCAGGTTTGGGCAATTCTTTAGGAGAGGCAGGAAAATGTTTTGGTGCCTGTTTCATTTGAGGAGAAGTTTTTTCTTTAGACGGTTCAAAAGGTTTGAAAGGACGCTGTGGTGAGGTCATGCTAACAGGCCGTGGTATCCTAGATCTGTTGGCACTACTAGGACTCACAGCTTTTTCAGGCTGAGGCTGTTGTGTCTTTGTAGCCTTTTTCTCAGGCCCAGCCATTTGCTCCCATTTCAATTGAAGTCGACGGAACCTAATACCCTCGGACTCATCATCTCTTTCCTTTTCTACACAGGCTCGTGAACCCTTCTCATTTTCAGTATCTTTTTCAGATGCAGACCTCTCGCTAACATCACCATCCCTACTAGACACATCACTAACATGGAGATCAGTTTGCAAATCATCATCAGTACACTCGCTAGCTCGAGAATGAAGCGGTCGATTATTCTTAGGGTTGTCGAGGGAGTCTGTATAATCTTCACTGGATGTATTTCCTGCAACTTCTTCCAGCATCAATTTATCTATGGCTGTTAGTAGTCTGGAACCGAGCTGGACACCACTCCAGCGTTTTTTAAGTGTTGGATTCGTTTCTTCATTGGCAACATGTTCATAGCACGACCTAGGTCTTGGGCTTCGGCTTCGTTCTCGAGACAGATCTGATGTGGAGTGTAAGAGCTCATTATCCTCCAGCTCTGGAGAAGTGAGTACTCTCATTAGAGCTTTGACACGATCTTGTTGTGCAGCATTTTTGAACTCTTTTGTTTCTTTTGAGTGTAAATGATCTAAAACTGAGGGAGGTCGTTCACCAGGGCTCTCTTTTGAACTTGTGTGCAAGAGGAGTCGCTCTTCCATCTTTTGAAGGCTTGCATGGAGGGCTTTGTATTCATGAAGTAGATCAAGATTAAATGGGAGAAGAGCAAGAGGTCTGAGAGAAAGGAGAAAGTCATCATAGAGACTTTTTGTGGCAGTGTTGGAGAGGTAGAGAAAGGCTTCAGGATGATAATGCTTCTGGATTACACTCTCTCTTGTACGAAGATAACTCAGCCAAGAGTCCAAAGATCGAATGCTGAAAAAAAAAAAAAAAAAAATTAAAAACTGATTTCAAAAGAATATGAATTACTTGAGTAATTAATATTAATATTTTATGAAAGACAGGCAGAAAGCTATCACAGTAAATCAAAGAAGAATGGCAGGTCAAGCCTTAATTGGAATCAAGTTTAGCTTGATAATAGCTTAATCAAGTTGAACTGAATCTCCCATGGAATGAAATGTTTTAGTAAAAGCTTGTTCCATGTATCAGATTCACTAATATCAATGCTTTAATGTGTACATGAATGGGTTGCATTCCTGGAAAACCAGACAAGATGAATCTTCATAAAGTGAAACATTTTCCCACTGATTCTTACTTTATTATTTTTAACACACTGGCTATCTCCCACCAAGGTAGAGTGACCCATAAATGAAACATATTCACCATCATTCACACTATCACTGTCTGGCCAGAGACATGCAGATACAATAGTTTAGATGTCCCTCTAAACAGCAAATATCCCAACCCCCTCCTTTAGAGTGCAGGCACTGTACTTCCCACCTCCAAGACTCAAGTCTGGCTAACCAGTTTCCCTGAATCCTTCACAAATCATTACCTTACTCACACTCCAACAGCTCATCATCCCAAAAACTATTTGTCCCCAGCCCACTTCTAACACACTCGCACATGTCTGCTGTATGTCCAAGCCCCTTGCACACAAAGCTTCCTTTACCCCCTCCCTCCATATAGCCTATTTAAAAAAAAAAAAAAAAAAAAAATCTATTGACAATTTTTATTTTGAACATCAAATTATGTACTAAAAATTTACATGTGTTCATTTTCTTAAATGCTGTTTTTACAGAGTTATTTTTTATTATTATTTATTATCACACTGGCCGATTCCCACCAAGGCAGGGTGGCCCGAAAAAGAAAAACTTTCACCATCATTCACTCCATCACTGTCTTGCCAGAAGGGTGCTTTACACTACAGTTTTTAAACTGCAACATTAACACCCCTCCTTCAGAGTGCAGGCACTGTACTTCCCATCTCCAGGACTCAAGTCCGGCCTGCCGGTTTCCCTGAACCTCTTCATAAATGTTACTTTGCTCACACTCCAACAGCACGTCAAGTATTAAAAACCATTTGTCTCCATTCACTCCTACCAAACACGCTCACGCATGCCTGCTGGAAGTCCAAGCCCCTCGCACACAAAACCTCCTTTACCCCCTCCCTCCAACCTTTCCTAGGCCGACCCCTACCCCGCCTTCCTTCCACTACAGACTGATACACTCTTGAAGTTATTCTGTCTCGCTCCATTCTCTCTACATGTCCGAACCACCTCAACAACCCTTCCTCAGCCCTCTGGACAACAGTTTTGGTAATCCCGCACCTCCTCCTAACTTCCAAACTACGAATTCTCTGCATTATATTCACACCACACATTGCTCTCAGACATGACATCTCCACTGCCTCCAGCCTTCTCCTCGCTGCAACATTCATCACCCATGCTTCACACCCATATAAGAGCGTTGGTAAAACTATACTCTCATATATTCCCCTCTTTGACTCAAAGGACAAAGTTCTTTGTCTCCACAGACTCCTAAGTGCACCACTCACCCTTTTCCCCTCATCAATTCTATGATTCACCTCATCGTTCATAGACCCATCCGTTGACACGTCCACTCCCAAATATCTGAATACATTCACCTCCTCCATACTCTCTCCCTCCAATCTGATATCCAATCTTTCATCACCTAATCTTTTTGTTATTCTCATAACCTTACTCTTTCCTGTATTCACTTTCAATTTTCTTCTTTTGCACACCCTACCAAATTCATCCACCAATCTCTGCAACTTCTCTTCAGAATCTCCCAAGAGCACAGTGTCATCAGCAAAGAGCAACTGTGACAACTCCCACTTTATGTGTGATTCTTTATCTTTTAACTCCACGCCTCTTGCCAATACCCTCGCATTTACTTCTCTTACAACCCCATCTATAAATATATTAAACAACCACAGTGACATCACACATCCTTGTCTAAGGCCTACTTTTACTGGGAAATAATTTCCCTCTTTCCTACATACTCTAATTTGAGCCTCACTATCCTCGTAAAAACTCTTCACTGCTTTCAGTAACCTACCCCCTACACCATACACCTGCAACATCTGCCACATCGCCCCCCTATCCACCCTGTCATACAGAGTTATTCCTAGAATTCACCAAGCACATTAAAAAAAACCTGTGGCTGGTTTTGTTTTTATAGATAAACTCTGTGCTGAAAGTTTGTAAAGTAGAACTTCCTTTATTATTATTCTAATGGCATTACAACTGGGCAAAATCAAGCAATGCACCTGACAGCACTTACAGGGTAGTCTGCCATCCATTACCCAAGACTAGGGGGAATACTTCTACTAGTCCAGACTAGCCAAAACTAGGGGGAATACTTCTACTAGTCCAGACTAGCCAAACTAGTGGAACTGCCATTAGCCTAGTGATGTAATAGTGATCATTCGTAGAATAAATCACACAATTGCTATATGAATTTGTTTGCTAATATCTCATCTTCATTAAAGCTAATTTTCACTAAATAAAATACCATTACATAGAAACTGTCTGTACACTAATTGGCATCTCACCAAGTTCAAGACTAAATAAAAAACTTTTTTTTTTCTTTCATATTTTTGACAACCACATTATTTGCTAATATAGTCTAGAAGATAAATATCACATTAAAAAACACCATTATTAAGCTGTGATGACATACAGGATACAGAATATTTACTAAGATTTTATTTTAATAAAAGAAGCTTTAAATTCATATTCAGGTTTTCTACTTTACAATCATAAAATACCAAAATGTTGTATGTATTTTTCCACGTATGTATGTACAAGACAAAAATGACTGCCATGGCCTCCAAGTATGTAATTAATAATTTCAACCACACAAGCTCAATATTACTCAAATCCAAGGCAATGCGCAACAGTGCTTACAAGTCTTTTTAACACATCTGCACTTTACAATGGCTTAAGCACATTTAAAATGTGCAATGAAACTAAATATCTGATAAAAACTCAACATACATATAAAAGAGAACATATGGAACTACAGTTGATCTCCACTATTTTTAACTTGCTGCAGACAAGAACTTTTTGCTTTAGCAAAAATTTCAGTATGAAAAATAAAAGTAAAAACACCATGGCTACAATAACTCATGGCTAGCACGCAATTTAGAAATGAAAACTATTAGATTTCAATCCATCCTGAACTGAAATAGTAACTTGATAATGACCCAGGATGAATGGAAAAGGCTAGTTTCAAGAATTCCATTACAAGTGAGGACAGAATACATACATGTATACCATAAAAAAATACAAAAATGTATCATACTTACTATTCAATGGAGTAAAGACGCCTTTCAGTACCTGTATTTATTTATGGTGACTCGTGTACTCCCTTGTTCTAATCATCTCTAGTCTCCATGACCCCTACCTCCCTAGTGATCTCACAGTCTTCTCTCCTTACACTACTTTGTGCCTCATTAGTCACCCGCATGTAGACTAGATATAGAATTACAATTTTAATTAGACATATCAGTATAAGAAGTTAAAATATTATTTAAATATGGAATCCAAAGGTGTAATTTTTATATCCAAGTAGGAAGCAGTGTGGGTTTACCAGAGTGGCCCAGACTGGGGCAAGAGAAAACAGAAAAGCTGAGAAGTACTCCCCAACATTTTTTCACAGTGTACTTTTGCACTGACTATCAGACATAATCCTATATGATAACAATGCATTAATCAAAAATTTCAGACTGGAAAAATCAATTATTTGTAAGTGAAGACTACAGAAGAGGGGTGATTTGCTGTTTAGCTTTCTGGAATTACTGTTGATACACTAATATTTCTTATTCGGAACGGTGTGTGTGTGTGTGGGGGACATGGAGCATCTGAAGTGATACATAATATTCTCTCAATGATAGATATCTGATGCCTCTTTATTAAATAAAAAAAACCTGAATTAAGAGTTTTTCAAACAAATTATGATTTCTTTATTTATTCTGAAAATTCCAAACATGGGAAATTATTCCAAATTTTTATTTTTTATTTTTTTTTATCATCACACTGGCCGATTCCCACCAAGGCAGAGTGGCCCGAAAAAGAAAAACTTTCACCATCATTCACTCCATCACTGTCTTGCCAGAAGGGTGCTTTACACTACAGTTTTTAAACTGCAACATTAACACCCCTCCTTCAGAGTGCAGGCACTGTACTTCCCATCTCCAGGACTCAAGTCCGGCCTGCCGGTTTCCCTGAACCCCTTCATAAATGTTACTTTGCTCACACTCCAACAGCACGTCAAATATTAAAAACCATTTGTCTCCATTCACTCCTATCAAACACGCTCACGCATGCCTGCTGGAAGTCCAAGCCCCTCGCACACAAAACCTCCTTTACCCCCTCCCTCCAACCTTTCCTAGGCCGACCCCTACCCCGCCTTCCTTCCACTACAGACTGATACACTCTTGAAGTCATTCTGTCTCGCTCCATTCTCTCTACATGTCCGAACCACCTCAACAACCCTTCCTCAGCCCTCTGGACAACAGTTTTGGTAATCCCGCACCTCCTCCTAACTTCCAAACTACGAATTCTCTGCATTATATTCACACCACACATTGCCCTCAGACATGACATCTCCACTGCCTCCAGCCTTCTCCTCGCTGCAACATTCATCACCCATGCTTCACACCCATATAAGAGCGTTGGTAAAACTATACTCTCATACATTCCCCTCTTTGCCTCCAAGGACAAAGTTCTTTGTCTCCACAGACTCCTAAGTGCACCACTCACCCTTTTCCCCTCATCAATTCTATGATTTACCTCATCTTTCATAGACCCATCCACTGACACGTCCACTCCCAAATATCTGAATACATTCACCTCCTCCATACTCTCTCCCTCCAATCTGATATCCAATCTTTCATCACCTAATCTTTTGTTATCCTCATAACCTTACTCTTTCCTGTATTCACTTTTAATTTTCTTCTTTTGCATACCCTACAAAATTCATCCACCAATCTCTGCAACTTCTCTTCAGAATCTCCCAAGAGCACAGTGTCATCAGCAAAGAGCAACTGTGACAACTCCCACTTTATGTGTGATTCTTTATCTTTTAACTCCATGCCTCTTGCCAATACCCTCGCATTTACTTCTCTTACAACCCCATCTATAAATATACTAAACAACCACGGTGACATCACACATCCTTGTCTGAGGCCTACTTTTACTGGGAAATAATTTCCCTCTTTCCTACATACTCTAACTTGAGCCTCACTATCCTCGTAAAAACTCTTCACTGCTTTCAGTAACCTACCTCCTACTCCATACACCTGCAACATCTGCCACATTGTTCCCCTATCCACCCTGTCGTACGCCTTTTCCAAATCCATAAATGCCACAAAGACCTCTTTAGCCTTATCTAAATACTGTTCACTTATGAATTTCACTGTAAACACCTGGTCCACACACCCCCTACCTTTCCTAAAGCCTCCTTGTTCATCTGCTATCCTATTCTCCATCTTACTCTTAATTCTTTCAATAATAACTCTGCCATACACTTTACCAAGTATACTCAACAGACATATTCCCCTATAATTTTTGCACTCTCTTTTGTCCCCTTTGCCTTTATACAAAGGAACTATGCATGCTCTCTGCCAATCCCTAGGTACCTTACCTTCTTCCATACATTTATTAAATAATTGCACCAACCACTCCAAAACTACATCCCCACCTGCTTTTAACATTTCTATCTTTATCCCATCAATCCCGGCTGCCTTACCCCCTTTCATTTTACCTACTGCCTCACGAACTTCCCCCACGCTCACAACTGGCTCTTCCTCACACCTACAAGATGTTATTCCTCCTTGCCCTATACACGAAATCACAGCTTCCCTATCTTCATCAACGTTTAACAATTCCTCGAAATATTCCCTCCATCTTCCCAATACCTCTAACTCTCCATTTAACAACTCTCCTCTCCTATTTTTAACTGACAAATCCATTTTTTTCTCTAGGCTTCCTTAACTTGTTAATCTCAATCCAAAACTTTCTTATTTTCAACAAAATTTGTTGATAACATCTCACCCACTCTCTCATTTGCTCTCTTTTTACATTGCTTCACCACTCTCTTAACCTCTCTCTTTTTCTCCATATACTCTTCCCTCCTTGCATCACTTCCAAATCCATAACATATTTTATAATTTAGGAGAATTCTGATTCCTGTAACAAATTTCCAAATAAGGGAGATTAGTACATACTAAGCACTTGCTATAGTAATCCTTTTATATGTACAATCACCTGTTGAACCAATTCTGAAGTTCCTTTCACCATTTGTATTGTTTACATGGTAAATTCTTCGCTGTGCAGATCAAAGCTTTTCTTCCAGCTTACTTTGCTAAACACAATTATTGCATTCTAGTACTGTTGCTACTTTACTTCTTAAGATTAACTATTAACCCTTAAAAGAACATAAAATTTTCTTACTTAAGAAGGCCAAAGATGAAGGCATTGAATTTGATGGGTCCTTCTGAGAGACACTCTTCACTGTTCAGTGTCAGCACCAAGTCATTCAGGGCTTTTGTGGAGGGACCTAAACAAGATTATTATATATTACTCAAAGAAAAGGGTGCTTTCATTGGCAAATAATCTAAATTTATGTAAAGTAAATTACACGTGTTGCATTCATTAAATTATTCTTAAGAATCAGTATAGTGTCCATCACATTTCCTTCACAATAAAAATCACAAAAACACTACAAGTATACAGTATATTATCATCAAAATACAGAAGTGTAATAAACAATAATATATACAAATAGACAGAAAATAAAACTGACACTAAGAGGAGAGCTCTACATCTCGGCTGACAACTAAGGCCCATAGTGATGAGGGCCTCATATGTTGGCCAAAATATTTAGTACCCATCTTGCCTTCTATTTCATTTTGTCCTTGTGGGTTTGCTGATACCATTTATTATTCCCTGTAAAATTATAATGAGAATAAACTTACTGATTTGGCTGGTGACTTCAATGACCCGCCACACCGAGTTATTGATCTTGCCGAAGAGGGATTGTAGTGATGGATGAAGACCATCACTAAGAAGAGCATATACAGCAGGACACAACTTGTCAAGTGCCAATTGTGCCACAGCAGGTGTTAAACTGCTGGTACCTAAACAACACAGGAAATAATCAACTTGTTTGTTTCAACACATCAAATAAGCTAGAGTATTCCCAAGATTTAATACTTTGTAAAAATAATACAAAACAGAATTCCAAGAGACAGACAGATGGAGAAGAAAAAGAAGGTGGAAGTTAGCAAGAGGGGAGAGAGGGAAAGCAGGAGATAAAAGGACAGAGATGGGGGGATCAAGAGAAAGATAGGAGGAGACAGAGTTAAAAATGTGAGTGAGGAAGGAGGACAGAGTAAAAAGCAGGGAGAGTGTCCATGGAAATGGCACATAGCAGAAGACTGTACAATTCACACAGAGGCTATCTGCAGAGTACTACTACTACTACTATCTTGACCGAGTACCACTTACTACTACCTAAATGACCGAGACAAGAATAGTAAAGCAAAAGGCTCTCCTTCCCCCCTTCACTCCCCTCCAGCCACTGCAATAGTACTACTAATATAGCAACTATAGCCTCACCTCACTTAACGATGGAGCTCTGTCCCTAAGACCACATTGGTAAACGAATTTACCGCTAAGTGAGGAACATACTATAATGGCAGTGGGTATGTGTCAACCATCTTTGATATTGTTTTAATGTCACCTTTGCACCATTTATAACATTTCTGGTATATTTTTAAATGTTTATACAGGCCGGCCATCACTAATCCGGCAAACAATAATCCGGTTCCATCAGTAATCCTGCACTAATTTCGGCTAGCAAAATTTTAAATTTCGGGGTCGCTGCTACTGTTTGGTGGCGCTACTTGCTGCACAAGTCATTCCAGTTTCTTTTTCTCAATTTACTGTTATAACCTGCTTACTTTTAGCCCTAGCCATGGTTCCAACAAATGAAAGAAATGGTTCTCATTGTGTAAAGCACATACACTGTACATTGTCCATAAAAGATAAGGTGGTTTTGAAGCCACTGTTGGTCGCCACGAGCTCAGCTCACTCGGATAAGCTGTGACCTGTAAATTTGGGCCTACATATGAGAGAACAGGTCTGTGTGATAAGTGTGCACTATATAAAAAAAAAAATTCTGCAGCACGCAGTGCATAATGAGAAAAACTGCAACCGTGGTGTAAATGAGCGACTTTGCAGTGTATTTTTGTATGGCTTTTATGGTTGTATTCTCATTTCCTTGGTTTCATTTGATAGAAAGGAACACATATTACAGAAATAGATATGATTTTGATTGGTTTCATAACAAAAAGTACCTTGAAATTATCGAAGTAGTGGAAACGTTTGATTTTTGCCGATGTTCAAGAGTAAACAAATGACGTCACCATCCAATACGTGTCCAACTAGCCAGTCTCATACGCAGTCACAAATGGGCTGACATTATTTATACAATTATTACAATAATGCAGTAGTCTGCATAACAGTAAATCTATTTTTTTTTTGTGAATAAAAATTCAAAATGTAAAGCAAGAGTAATATAAGAGAAGCCTGGAGACATGACTCATGAACAGTGAAAATGTTATTTTAGTGCTAGGAATGTCTGCAATGTTTATTTTGGTCCCTATTTTGAAACTGCATCTTTTGAAATTTGTGTGAAATTGACAAAATTGCTGATTTCTGACCACTTTATTGGGTAGTTGAAATAGGTGAATGGGCAGTTTCTTATACTCATTCAACAGAATAGAAGGAATACTAGCAAAATAACTGACTTTGGTAGACTGGAACAATAGAATGGGCCAAAAATAGGGCATAAAGTAGGTGAAATAGCCAATGCGTAAATATCACTGTTAGGTAAAGTGTATTGTAACTTAGCTATGTACTCTAATCCGGCAAAATCACTAATCCGGCTCTCTACAGGTCCCATTGTTGCTGGATTAGTGATGGCCAACCTGTACAGCAGTGTACTGAATATTGTAATAAACAGAATAGAGGAAATCAGCTCTAATATACATTTTTTAGGTATGCATACTAGTCAGAGAACCCATCGTAAGTCCGTTGCTAAGTAAGGAGAGGCTGTAATTATGCTGCTCCAATGATACAAATTTGTTACCTCAAATACTACTTTTAGTTCTTAGTTTTAAATGGTACTGTTCTACAGGTAAGTATTTGCAACTGGATATCCTGACCCTGAGCAGTTTCAGAAATTTTCATGGGATGTCACTGGAAGGAGGGAAGGAGAGTAAGCAAGACAGGGAGAAGCAAGAGTGAGACTGAGTATTTATTATGAAAGACATTATGCTATTTTTTACAAAATTAGGCTTGTGTGAGTGTATTACATCAGTGTTTATGCCTGCTGAGCTGTTAGAATGAGGAAGATAACATTTATGAAGGATTTCAGGGCAAATGATTAGCCAGATTAGACTTGGAAGTGGTAAATACAGTGCCTGTACCCTGAAGGAGGGTAGAGATGTTGCAGTTTGGAGGGTTATTTGAACTGTGATAACTGTGCATTTCTGGTAAAACAGCTGTTGATTGGACAATATAATGAAATATAAGTTCTTTGGTACTAGTGTATGAAGTTACAATACAAAATAATATACCATGTAAGTACTCTGAAAGCTGCTTCTGCAGACAAGGATATAAGGAGTTAAGAACAAAGATACGTAAAATTCTTGGTAAAATAGCTATATTTGATTGAAAGCATTGCAGTATATGACAATATATGGGGTTAGAAAGAAAAAAAGTAGAAATGAGGTGCAGGAGGATGAGTGATGGATGAAAACAAGCAGGTTTCTAGATTTGTTTGACACAGTATCTTGCTGTCATGAATCACATTAAGGTAAGGAGGTGTTTTTAAACATTAGCTTTAAATTTGTTAGAAGAGATGTAAACTTCAGAGTCTTCAAACAGTTCTAAATTTTGGGTCCTTTTATATATATGGGCTTTTTACTCAGGTTGAGTTATAAACAGGGATATCAAAGAGGTATTTGTATCTTGCATTTTGCCTATGACTTCTGTTGCAGATATATAGGAAAAGTTTCAAAGAAGGGTTGATACATGTATCAGTATTGATTATTTTATATATAGATATACAGGATGCACAATAGTAAGAGTGAATGTTTTGTATGTTGAGTAAGTTTAAGCTTCTGAAGAGTGGAGGTGTATGATGTGTATTGATTGCTTGAGTGAATGCTCATAGAGCAACTTTTTGATAGGTTACTACTGACTTTAGGTAATTTTCTGTATTACTGTAGATCCCAAACACAAATACCATACGTGAGGCAAGGATAGATTAGAATAAAGCAAAGTAATGCTATTTGAGGCACATATTGCATTAACATAAATTAGAGAGGATGCCCACGGTTTTGGAGACTTTCCTGCTGGGCGTGGGTGTTGAATTTTAAATTGCCATCAGGGTATAGACCTAAAAAATTTCTATACTTTGTCTAACAATCTGCAGCTGTTTCCAAATGTGTAGAAGGTCTTGTCAATATTAAGAGTGAGGCTACTGATAGTCATCCAGGTAGATATCTTCATGAGTTCATCATTAACAGTGTTACTGAGAGAAACCCAATCTAAATGGGAGATGACAAAAGTTGTCATCTGAAAACATAATGGGTTTAAGTACCCAAGATGCATTAACCCTTTCAGGGTTTCGGACGTACTAGTACGGCTTATGCACCAGGGTTTTTGACGTACTAGTACGCCTAAATTCTAGCACCCTCAAATCTAGTGAGAGAAAGCTGGTAGGCCTACATATGAAAGAATGGGTCTATGCGGTCAGTGTGTGCAGTATAAAAAAAAATCCTGCAGCACACAGTGCGTAGTGAGAAAAAAAAACTTTGACCGTGTTTTTGGATTAAAACCGACTTTGCACTGCATTTTCGTATGGTATTTACTGTTGTATTCTAGTTTTCCTGGTCTCATTTTATAGAATGGAAAACATATTACAGAAATTGAGATGATTTTGACTGGTTTTACAATGAAAAGTACCTTGAAATTGAGCTCAAAGTAGCAGAAATGTTCGATTTTTACCAAAGTTCAAAAGTAAATAAATCATGCTATGCGTCAAATACATGTCAAATACACGTCTAATATTCTTTCACAAGTGCGCTGATATTATTCATACCATTTCTACACTAATGCAGTAGTCTGCGTAACAGTAAATCTTCTATTTTTTGTGAGAATAAAAATTCAAAGTGGAAAGCAAAAGAATGTAAGAGGGGCATGGGGACGTGACTAATGAACAGAGGAAATGTTATTTTAGTGCCAAGAATGTCTTTCTTGCTTATTCTGGATCCTATTTGGAAATTGGCATCTTTTGAAATTTGTGTGAAATTGGCAAAATTCCTAAATTCTGACCACTTTATTGGATAGTTGAAATCAGTAAATGGGTGGTTTCTTGTACTCATTTGATAGAAAAAAATGAAGTTCTAGCAAAATAGTTATGATTTTTGTTGAATAGTACACTGGAATTGGGCGAAAATAGGGTTCAAAGTGGGCAAAATTGCCGATGCGTAAACATCGTCGAGACCATTAAATTCGTGAGAGCATAATTCTGCAAGTTTTCCATCAAATTTCATACTTTTGGTGTCATTATGATTGGGAAAAGATTTTCTATCTTTTCATAAGAAAATTTTTTTTTTTATATTTGGCCACCCTGAGAACAAGTCTTGAAGAGGGCCTGGCGACCCTGAAAGGGTTAAGAAGGACACTGATGAAGATGAGAAAAACCAGCCCATTATGGCAATTTTGTGAAAGCAGTCAAATGGGTCGCTGTTGACAGAGCCTTGAACAGTTGAAATATAACCGTTTATATCAGTGGGTGCCTGTTTTACATTCATGCAGCAGACTTTATTATTTCCTTTTAGCCTATATTTATAATTTTTCCACTGTAACTTAACCTAACTTAGAAACGTGACGCAAATCCTATGTGAAAAAAGTGACAGTTGCTAGGAGTATGGGTTGGAAAAACCAGAGTGCCAAGAACACTGCCCTGAGGCACCCAATGTTGATACAATAGATCAAATTAACAAGGTTGTGTCACAGATTGAAATATGTGGTCTGACATTAAGGTAGGATTTTAAAAAAGCAAGAGTATGACCTCCAATTCTATGAAGTTTTAGTTTATGATTCTGGTTGTTATGGCCTCCTGTATTGAAAGCTTTCCTAAGGTCTATGAAGAGGCCCACTGAATATTTACTATTTTCAAGAGATGCATAAATAAAGTCAGGAATTTTTGTTGTTAAAACGTCTGCATGAAATATTTTGCCTTGTGTGTCTTATGCCCTATTCTGTGTGATGCTTAGAAATTTATGCAGATCTGGGCATTCTGAAAACTATTCCTACACTCTCAAACTTGAAATAGCAAATACCAAGATTGTCTAAGAGTCAGTTAATGTTCTAAAGCAATTTATACCAACAAATTACCAGCAAATATAATTTTTCCATTCAGAATTTGACAATTTAGACCAACATATCATTGAGCTAGAAGATAAAGGATCTACCATATCCTTGCAACACCCAGGATATTTTTTTAGGAAATGTGGTACTAGGCATAAGATACCATAGTATTTTATGTCTGAAAGTGAGTCAATGTATTAAACTAGCTATATTAAAATAAGCAAAGTACAGAGTGGAGTCTCTCCAGAAGGTGCAAGAAGTCATGCAGTATCCTCTCTCTAAGTCCCTCTCATTTTCCTAACACTGCAAAATAAGACAAAAAATATGTATCCAATGATGGCACTGAACATCCAAGTCACTTAGGTACCCAGACAAATCAACCATCAGTCTACTTTCTACTCCAACACCACTGCTATATACAGTACCTTCATTCTACAGAAATCACTTCTTGTCAGCAAGAATCACACTGATTTTTATTAGTGTAACATGCACATTGCACACACTACTGTAGAAGGAAAGGCATCAAAGGGATCTGGACAAATTGCAAGAGTGGGCAGATAATTGGTTGCCTGACTTCAACCCTACTCAATACAAGGTAATGAAGATTGGGAAGGAGCAAGAAGACCCAAAATGGGGTACAGTCCAAGGGAACAGAGGATCCAGACTTTACTCAAAGAATAAGACCCAAGGGTAAGCACAGTACCCAGTATAATGCAAGAAGCTCACATTAGCTGAATAACTTCTGCGGCCAATGCTCATCTGCCAAAACTAAGAGTAACCCTCAGGAATCTCAACAAAGTGTTCTGAGCCTTTTATACAACATACGTTAGGCTGGGCCCATCTTAAAATATGCAGCACCAGTATGGAACCCGCACCTGAAAAAGCACGTTAAAAAATGGAAAAATATGCAACAAGGCTTATTCCTGAGCTAAGGGCATAAACTATGAGGAGAGGCTAATGGAACTGGACCTAACCATATTGGAAGACAGAAAAACAAGGGAGGACATGATAACACACTATACTCAGGGGAACTGACAAGATAGACAGGGACAGGCTCTGAGAAGCGAGAAGCAGGAACTTGGGGACATCATTGGAAGTTAAAAGAACAGATGAGCCGCAAGGATATTAAAAAGTATTTCTTCAATCTCAGAGTGGTCGGGAAGTGGAATGATCTTGGTGAGGTAGTAGTGGAGGCAGGTTCCATACATAGTTTTAAGAGTAGGTAAAATACAAACCATGAGGATAAGAGAGAGTGAATCTGAAGAGTGGCAAGTTAAGAGGAAGGACCAGGATCTGAGAATCGATCCCCGCAACCACAAATAGACAAGTACAAACAGGCGAGTACAGTTGTTTTTACATTATGGTCATTTATTGGCCCTAACTAATTTTCTGAAAAATCCAGACCTTCAACAAGGGTTAATTTTAAATAATGACCATGTCAAAACATTGAAGCCCAACTGTAATGAAACCCAAAGAAAAACATGATTTGCTTTATTGCAATTTCCTGCAAATTATTTTGGTCAAATATGCATAATGTTACTAAAGAACACACAAGTTAGGTAAATGCTACAATATTCTTATCCAAACTTACCCAATCGAACTTTATCCTGTTGTGAGGTAGCTGAGGAAAAGTGAGTGACTAACTTTTCCACAGCAGCACGAACAGAAAGTACAAGCGTTTTCTTGTCATGAGCATCGTAAAGCAAGGGTCTTGGTTCCTCTTCTGTAGTCATCTCTCCTATATTAGTTCCACCAGCAGAAGCATCTGGATTTTGGCCCTGCTGGTAAATGAGTACTTTTTATGCTTGAAACACATTAAAAAAAAAAACTATTATTCAGTTTTGTTGAAGGTTACACAGTTATAAGTGACTTAGGTGCTGAGAACACTAAACTACACTAATTTAATATTTGATAAAGTTATTATTTGTAGGACAGTTTATAAAGAAAGCATACAATGAGGAAGACATCTAGAACAAGAAGAGACTTGAGACTTGTTAAATTAACTATAGCTCTTGTGGAATGTGTTGCATGTGGCATGAAACAGGCATAGGAATAAGAAATACAAAATTATGCAAAGGATACAAGTTATGGGGTCAAGAGTGCAGATGACAACTTAAATTAATGAAAAGTATGATACTCTGGGTAAGCCTGACTGTGAGAGAGGGACTTTTGTATAGCATAGAGCAAATAGATCTAGCCTTCCTTCACTACTACTTGTACTGAATGACCCACACAAGTTTTTAACAGCCAATGTGTTAAAAAAATACAAAAAAATAATAAGTATGATTGACAACAATATTGAAAAACTAAATAGCTAACCAGTATCCTGAAATAAGACAAAAAGTTCTTGAGTATATGAATGTACAAAATGAGAATGACTAGGTCCAATAGCCTACATGATATTCAATCATGGTCACCCTCCCAAGAAGGACTCTTGAGGGGAGGGAGATGATAAAAATTTATAGAGCTATAATTAACATTATACGTAAAAATGCTTCACAGTGACATTTTCAAAACAAAATGTTATGCGTAAAGAAAAAGGAAATAAACTGATACATGTCTAGTAGTACAGCAGCGTTACTTTTTTTTTTTTTAACACACCGGCTGTCTGGTGCTAAATATTGTTACATGTGTAATAATATAGTAGGCTGGTAGACAGCAACCACCCAGGAAGGTTCTACCATCCTGCCAAGTGTGAAATGGAAACCTTTAATTGTTTTACATGATGGTGGATTGCTGGTGTCCTTTTTCTCTCATAAATACAGGGGATACCAGGTATATCTTTGCTACTTCTACTTACACTTAGGTCACACTACACATGCATACACATGCATATATAGACATACCCATCTGGGTTTTCTATTTTCTTAATAGTTCTTGTTCCTCTTTATTTTCTCTTATCTCCATGAAGGAAGTGGAACAGAATTCTTCCTCTATTAGCCATACATGTAGTAAAAGGTGACTAAAATGCTGAAACCAGGAGGCTAGTAAGCCCTTTCCCTGTACAAATTCTTAAACTTAAAAAGCTGAACTTAAAAAGCTGAACTTAAAAAGCTGAACATAATGACTGACAACACCCCTATTGCTAGACATAATTAGGGCAAATTCCTGGGCCTGTGCCTTGACAGCAACCTGAAATTCAACACCCATATCCAACAAATAACAAAAAAAAGTATCCAAAACAGTTGGGATCTTCTCCAAGATATGTTACTACATACCACAATCAGCCCTGCTCACACTACACTATTCACTCATCTATCCCTACCTCACCTATGCTATATGTGCATGGGGATCAGCAGCAGCAACTCGCCTAAAACCGATAATAACCCAACAGAAAGCCGCAGTGAGAATTCTCACGCAATCCAATGCAAGACAGCACACACCCCAACTCTTCAAAGACCTAAACCTACTCACCGCACAGAACATTCACACCTACTATTGTGCAATCTACATTTACAGAACCATAAACTTGAATTTTAACCCAGAACTAAAACAATTTCTTGATAGTTGCAACAGGACCCATAGACACAACACCAGACATAAAAATCTCTGACATTCCCCTTGTCCAGCTAAACCTATTCAAAAACTCGATGTACATAAAAGGGCCTAGAATCTGGAACTCCCTGCCTGAAAACTCTAGAACCGCAGACTCTACCACCATTTTTCAAAACTACCGTTAAAAAACATATCTCCATAACACACCCCATCATCAGCTAATCAAATGAAAACCACCCAATTCTCTTTTTTGTATCATGAACACATCCAAAACAATATAGACTTATCGTTATCTGTAATTCCCTCATAATTTCCACCTACACCCACCCAAAGCACTTTAAACATACAATTCCTAATATAGCTATTGCCTATTAAATCTTATGTTTGTCTTACTAAATCTTAAGTCAATCCTAAGTTTGTCTAAGATACTCCTCCAGTATGGCTTCAATAGAAACCTGTGTGTCATAACAAGACAAATTGATTCCCATTACTAAATCTGCCATTTGTACTAATATTAAATGATTTGACTACCTATCTATCTTTAACCTAATTATGTATGTACCTAACTGATAATGCTCCTGTTCAAATGTACTGCTGAAATATGACATATCAAAATAGCGTAAGAATTTGTATTAGTCTGCCGGAAGTGCCTAGGCACGATAGTGGCCATCTTTGTAACTTAAATCTTATAACATGTAAACCACATATCGTAAGCTTTACAAGGAAACAAATATCTGTATTTGTAAAGAAAAAACTTTCATTTTTCTTTTTAAGTTTTCTTTTTCAGTCACTCTGCCTTGGTGGGATACAGCCGGTTCAATGAAAAAAAAAAAAAAAAAAAAAAAAAAAAAAAAAAAAAAAAAAAAAAAAAAATATTTATTACACTGTATCATTCTTCATTATAAAAGAAAGCAGACAGATGCTCAGAATGACACTGACCAATTATACCTCAGAGAGCCTAAAGGAAAGCACTTTTCTTAAGTACAGCAATGGAAAAAAATAAAAATCTCACCTTCTTTTGAAGCGACGCATCTGGGGAATTGGGAGGAGTTGAAAGGCGGTCAGGAGTGTTGCGCAGGTGAACACAAATCTTTTCTGCAAAGCTTACACTTTTCTTTGGACAGAGGTCACAAGTATTGTTAACATCAGACAAAAGAGGACCAATGTGCCCTCTAGTAACAAGGAGATTGCTAACTTGTGATCGAATTCGAAGCAGGTCATCTTCTGTTAAATCCTCATGGCAGGAGACATCTGGTAGTTCACTGACTCTCAACAAGTTTTTCTTTTGAAGTCCTTTACCACAGAAACCAGTACACTGACTAACACAGCTACAGCCCATTGGGGAAGGAGGATTAATTATTGTAGTATCTTTATCTGTCTCTTGCTGTGGACAAGGCTGTGTTATTTCTGGAATGGTTTCCCTAACTACTCGCTGGGCCATGTGTTCCATAGGTTCTTGTAATGATCGTCTCTTCAGCAAGTCTTCTCTCATATTACCTCTTCCTGCATCAATAGCACTGTATCTTTTGTTATGACTATTTGTTCCTTTCAAAGCATCATCTTTTAATGAGGTGGACTTTCTAAGAATTCCCCGAGGCAATGGTGGGCGAGGGGGTGGCATGTCTGGGTCATCAGGACCATGTCTTTCCTCAACAGGAAGAGATATGGATCTCTTGGGCAATGGTGGTGGTTTTTCAAGCCCCTCTGAATCAGTGCTAGCAGTATCATATTTATAAACATACCTTTGATCCAAAAGCCCACCATTCTCTCCATCTGAATCATTGAGCATTGTTGAAGAGCCTCGAAAACCTGAGGAGGGCTGTGTCGAATTTAAGCTACTTGCACTTGCAGAACCTTTGAGTTCATGAGAACACTTTTGTTGGGTGTAATCACAACTGACAGGTCGACGAGATGGCTTTGGTGACTGACAAAATGAAGGCTTGGTGGTTTCCATGCAATCAGTTTCATCAAGCAGCATTTCTTTTAGCTCTTTCGGTAACAAAAAATTTAGAGAATCCCAATCGCGAATATGGCCAAATCCATGTTTACGCAACTTTTCCATGTCACCACATGAAAAAGGACGTCTTAATCGACTTTCTTTAAATTTTCTCATTTCTTCAGGTCGAGAGCTATAGTGCTGTGGTACGAGGAATACTCGAGCATCAATGTTATATTTCTTGTCCTTTAGGAAACCCAAATCTGGCAAAGCATAGTTTGGATAGTAAACATACACCTCTTTTTTGTCAATGTTAAAACTAGTGTTAACCATTGCTGACACCTTCAAATTCGAGGTCTGAAGGCACTGATCTGACATTTGCTTTAAAACGCGAGGCTTTGGTCGAGGTTTCTGTTGTGTTGTGCTTGTTTGCTCAGAGTCTGAAGGTCTTCTGATTTTTTCTGTAGATCCTCTATTAGAAAGATAACCACTGGATGAATTCCCAGAATCCTGGCGCCTTCGAGTAGTGTTATTGGAACTTTCGCGCCTGCTGCTTGCTTTTTTTGGAGTCCCTGGTGACTGTGATCTCTTGCGTTCATCCACACAAATGTTGAAGGCATTCTTATTCATGTTCTTATTACCCAAGTCTTTAGCTGCAGTTTTAACAGGAGTCATATTATTTTTCTCCATATTATGTTTGTTATCTCGCAACCTCAAAACATCATGCATTTTGGTCTCCTTTTCAGACTGGTCCAGAAGAACCTTGCTTTCACCTCGACTATCCATGGATATATCCATACCTTCTGGTTCCTCCCTAATAGGACTAGTAACTGGTGGCTTGGAACAAGGATTAGTTTCTTTAAGACTGTCTTCAAAACTTGTAACATTATCCATTGTATTAGAAAGCTGAATGCTATTATTATCAAGCACAGCATGAGCAGTGATAATGTTGTTATTGTTATTGAGAAGTCCATCTTGTTGAGTATTAGCAGTGGCTGTAGTTTCTGTGGTGGTAGTGTCAGGAGAGGTGAAATCTTGGTTCATAGTCACATTATTGGTTCTTGGAGTGATTTCTGGAGTGCCTAATGAACCAGTTCGTCGTCGAAATCCTCGTTCGTGGTAAATCACACCATTCTGCCTCATGAGTGCTGGGGGTGGAACAGGTGAAGCACTTCCATCCATGTCATTCTCAGATTGGCTGTTCATGGGCCAGTCTGAAGAATCATGTACATTAGACTGGTTGTCAGAACTAGAACAACAAGCACCTTCTTGAGATATACTTGATGACAAACTGACTGCTTCTTTACTTAAACTTTTTTGACGCATAAATAATTTTACCAATGAAAAGTTGTTAGTCTCGTTTGCTATTGTTCTGCTACTCTGACTGGATCGCATGCTATTTTGAAGATCAAACACTTTAACACACCCTCCAGAGGCTTCTAAAGATCGCCGCATGAGTGATCGCCGCATCAGATTTGGCATACTGTTGCTCTTGTTATTTGGCTGTCCTTGTTCAGATGCCTTTGCACTTTCTGCTTGTCCTCCTGACTGTTGCTGGACATTGTTGACCTTGGAAGGCACCTCTGGTGTGCGTGATGATCGTCGGCTAACCCGCGACCAGGTTGTATAGGGCTGATCTGAATGTGTCATAGAGGGGGCAGAACAGCGACCCTCCAGCCTTTCTGTTGACCAATGGTTGCTCCCACTAGACTCGCTTTCACCTAAATAAATATGTCATAATTATACAATTATTATGCATTTTAACACACAACCTGATTCATACATTAACATTCATGATAAACCTACAGCATATCTTAAAGATTATTTAATTTTGAGGGTTTTAGGATAAATAAGATTTTAATAATAGAGTACAGGACATTATTAATCTTTTGCCCCGTGGCCTGGTGGCAAAAGCTTTTGCTTCACACAGTGAGGGTCTGGGTTTAATTCCCGGCGAAGGGGTAGAAACGTCAGACGGGTTTCCTTACACTGGTTGTCCATGTTCACCTATCAGTGAAGTAGGTACCTGGGTGTTAGTGGACTGATATGGGTTGCATCCTGGGAGAAAACTGACCTAATTTCCCAGAAATGCTGTGCATAACAAGATGCTTTCTATATAGTAGTATGTCACTAATGTCAGCTAGGCCTGTATACCTTGTACATGTACTTGTAGAAATAAAGATCTTGTTATATTATTATTATTATATAACTATACTTTTTTACTTGAAGCAATAGTATTATATTTAGGAGGAAGTGCTAAAGCCACAGGGGGTCATACAGCACCTGGGAAATGAGACACAATCAGACTCAATTCAGAGAAGGTGAGAACAAGTCTAAGTCTTTGGATCAAGAGCTCCTCACCAGTATCAATATACTTGCTGTATACTTCACAAAAATTCCCACAGTAAAAAAAAAACTCATCAACTGCAGAAATTTTTAACTAATATGGTATTGTACATGGAATTTATGTAAGAAAATAATACTTTAAGTGCCTTGTATTATACTGACCTGCCTCATGATAATCTGAGTCTTCTGAGTACTGAATAAAGGAGCCCTCGAAGGCAATAGTGTAGTTATCCTTATTGGCTTGGCAGGTGAGAATGAGATCATCATGAAGAGAGTCACAATCAAGAGAATCTACACTGAAGGTTGTGTTAGCTAGGGGTGGAGGCTCCTTCAGTGGGGAGAACAGTGGCCCAGACTGATACAATGACAGTTCCCCACTTACACCACTGTATTCCTCTTCCTCTATTTCTCCCTCCTCTTCCCTTCTGTCATCATCACCATCATCATCCTCCTCTTCCTCCTCCTCCTCCTCCTCTTCATCATCCTCTTCCTCATCCCCTTCATGGTCACAATGAGAAGAGGACCGTGGACTAACAGAGGAGTCGAGTTCATACTTGTTCATCATGGAACCAGAAACACTGGCAAACATTTCTCCATCTTCAGCACTCTGCAAAAAGAGGCAAAACTTTGTCTATAAATACATAATACCGATTTACTGTCAATTTTGAACTGGTATGTACTAGCATGTTAATCAATATTTTACAGTAATATCTATGCCATGATGTCTAAAATATGAAAAGTTCAGAATAATAGAAATGGGACACTTGATTTATTCCAAATAAAACTTAGAATTAGTATGCTTTTGCAAAACTAAATAAAGAATTTTCACTCTCATTAGGATAATTCCAAATTTCAGAGAGAATTCTACATCCAAAATCTGGGTAATTACTACAGCATTTCTTACTAAAAATATTAAGAGATTTTTCAATTAAAAATCAAAATTTATGGTGACTAACTTGAAAAAAAATATCTACAGTAAACTTTTGAAGAAGAATTACATTCATGGATCATTCAGTGCGTCACAGCAAGATGAATGGGTGGGAAGGAAATAGTGGGTCAAGTGTAAAAAAAGGTAAGAGGGCCAGCTGAAGAGAGGGATAAGTTAAGAAGGGGTTTCGTATGGATGAGAGGAGCGCCAAGAGTTGAGGGAATGCCAGTAAGAAGGGGCACAGGTATTGAGAGAATACATGGTAAAAAGAGGCAATACATTCAGTGAAGCAGTTAATGTTTCAGTCAGGAAACCATTGAATACGACCATTGAAGTGGGCCTTCAAAGACATGACACGATTAAGTATATCAAGAGTATCAAAGAGCTGAAAATGAAAAAAATGTCATGCTAATTCACGAGTATGGTGCTGGGTGCCCCTCCATATGACCACGTGAGAATCTGGTGCAACCAATAGGCAGAGTATATATTGCATAACTGATAATGAAGTTACGATAGCCAGAAGCCCAACTGCAGTATAAATAACACAAGCCTGTGGGTCATTGATGGAGACCAACAATGCTGACAGCAATCTTGCAAAAGGCCAAAAGGCCATTTAGTATGAAATCTGATCAACCAGGCTGTTGAGGCTAGATGCACGTAGTCCAGTTGAACTGAAAATCCTCCTCAATGAATATTATATTCCATGGTCCACAGAAGATCTGATAATATCTCAGCTTGAAGATTTGCTGTATCCTCAATGGATGCCACTCTTCAACAAAATCCTTACAAAGTCTCCAAAGGATACAGTGCTATTACCTATGCCTCTGTCTCTGTTGGATATGAGAATGATAAGAGAGAACTGGGATGAGTCCTTCCTGTGCCTTGAGGGGACAAAACTTTTCAGAGTGGCAGACCCTCAGGTACTGTCACCAAAAAGTCTAGCATACCGAACTTTCGCTCAGCTGAATTATTCGAGTTTATCTTGTACGTACTCCATTTCAGTCTTTTATTTCATTTTTTCTTCAACAGCAGCATTAACGAAATTTTTCCTCATTGAACATCTTATTGTTGTCAGTGGCTTTTAGGGAAACTTTTTTAATATCTATTTGCAGATTCCCTGTCCTCCTCAATGGATGCCACTCTCACTGAAATTCTGGTATCAGCAAAGGATGAAACAGTGCTATGATTGTTGTCCTTATCTGACATAAGAATGAAAAACAGAAGTGGGGTGAGTACTATGCCTTAAGAAACGGATCTTTTCACTGCAGCAGCTTCTGTTTGCTACAACTCTCTGGGTTCTATTTCTATATAAAGTTACCCACTTTTACAGTTATTCCTCTTGCACACATTTTGTGCACTCTCACACCATGATCTCCATGTTGAAGTTTTTTGTAAAATCAGTGTACACTACATCAGTAATTAACTTTTCATTCAGCATATCCAAGATCATATCATAACAGGCTAGCAATTTTAAAAGGAAGAAGCAGCCTGCCCTAAATCCATGCTGCACTGTACTGTGATTCCCATCCAAAGATTTTGACAATAAATAATGTTAATATTAATGGCCTATAGTTGAGATAACTACTGCTAACTTTGTGGATGTAGAGACAGACAATATCAAAGTTTTTAATGACTGTGGGATGACACTTACATCCAGGCTCCCTCTCCAAGCAACATTAACCCTTTCAGGGTCCATGTCATAGATCTACAGCTTTACATTCAGGGTCCAAACCATAGATTTTTTTTTTTTTTTATCATCACACTGGCCGATTCCCACCAAGGCAGGGTGGCCCAAAAAAGAAAAACTTTCACCATCATTCACTCCATCACTGTCTTGCCAGAAGGATGCTTTACACTACAGTTTTTAAATTGCAACATTAACACCCCTCCTTCAGAGTGCAGGCACTGTACTTCCCATCTCCAGGACTCAAGTCCAGCCTGCCGGTTTCCCTGAACCCCTTCATAAATGTTACTTTGCTCACACTCCAACAGCACGTCAAGTATTAAAAACCATTTGTCTCCATTCACTCCTATCAAACACGCTCACGCATGCCTGCTGGAAGTCCAAGCCCCTCGCACACAAAACCTCCTTTACCCCCTCCCTCCAACCTTTCCTAGGCCGACCCCTACCCCGCCTTCCTTCCACTACAGACTGATACACTCTTGAAGTCATTCTGTTTCGCTCCATTCTCTCTACATGTCCGAGCCACCTCAACAACCCTTCCTCAGCCCTCTGGACAACAGTTTTGGTAATCCCGCACCTCCTCCTAACTTCCAAACTACAAATTCTCTGCATTATATTCACACCACACATTGCCCTCAGACATGACATCTCCACTGCCTCCAGCCTTCTCCTCGCTGCAACATTCATCACCCATGCTTCACACCCATATAAGAGCGTTGGTAAAACTATACTCTCATACATTCCCCTCTTTGCCTCAAAGGACAAAGTTCTTTGTCTCCACAGACTCCTAAGTGCACCACTCACCCTTTTCCCCTCATCAATTCTATGATTCACCTCATCTTTCATAGACCCATCCGCTGACACGCCCACTTCCAAATATCTGAATACATTCACCTCCTCCATACTCTCTCCTTCCAATCTGATATCCAATCTTTCATCACCTAATCTTTTTGTTATCCTCATAACCTTACTCTTTCCTGTATTCACTTTTAATTTTCTTCTTTTGCATACCCTACAAAATTCATCCACCAATCTCTGCAACTTCTCTTCAGAATCTCCCAAGAGCACAGTGTCATCAGCAAAGAGCAACTGTGACAACTCCCACTTTATGTGTGATTCTTTACCTTTTAACTCCACACCTCTTGCCAAGACCCTCGCATTTACTTCTCTTACAACCCCATCTATAAATAAATTAAACAACCACGGTGACATCACACATCTTTGTCTAAGGCCTACTTTTACTGGGAAATAATTTCCCTCTTTCCTACATACTCTAAATTGAGCCTCACTATCCTTGTAAAAACTCTTCACTGCTTTCAGTAACCTACCTCCTACACCATACACCTGCAACATCTGCCACATTGCCCCCCTAACCACCCTGTCATACGCCTTTTCCAAATCCATAAATGCCACAAAGACTTCTTTAGCCTTATCTAAATACTGTTCACTTATATGTTTCACTGTAAACACCTGGTCCACACACCCCCTACCTTTCCTAAAGCCTCCTTGTTCATCTGCTATCCTATTCTCCGTCTTACTCTTAATTCTTTCAATAATAACTCTACCATACACTTTACCAGGTATACTCAACAGACTTTTTTTTTTTTTTTTTTTAACAAGTCGGCCATCTCCCACCGAGGCAGGGTGGCCCAAAAAAGAAGAAAATCCCCAAAAAGAAAATACTTTCATCATTCAACACTTTCACCACACTCACACATTATCACTGCTTTTGCAGAGGTGCACAGAATACAACAGTTTAGAAGCATATACGTATAAAGATACACAACATAAGTCAACAGACTTATCCCCCTATAATTTTTGCACTCTCTTTTGTCCCCTTTGCCTTTATACAAAGGAACTATGCATGCTCTCTGCCAATCCCTAGGTACCTTACCCTCTTCCATACATTTATTAAATAATTGCACCAACCACTCCAAAACTATACCCCCACCTGCTTTTAACATTTCTATCTTTATCCCATCAATCCCAGCTGCCTTACCCCCTTTCATTTTACCTACTGCCTCACGAACTTCCCCCACACTCACAACTGGCTCTTCCTCACTCCTACAAGATGTTATTCCTCCTTGCCCTATACACGAAATCACAGCTTCCCTATCTTCATCAACATTTAACAATTCCTCAAAATATTCCCTCCATCTTCCCAATACCTCTAACTCTCCATTTAATAACTCTCCTCTCCTATTTTTAACTGACAAATCCATTTGTTCTCTAGGCTTCCTTAACTTTTTAATCTCACTCCAAAACTTTTTCTTATTTTCAACAAAATTTGTTGATAACATCTCACCCACTCTCTCATTTGCTCTCTTTTTACATTGCTTCACCACTCTCTTAACCTCTCTCTTTTTCTCCATATACTCTTCCCTCCTTGCATCACTTCTACTTTGTAAAAACTTCTCATATGCTAACTTTTTCTCCCTTACTACTCTCTTTACATCATCATTCCACCAATCGCTCCTCTTCCCTCCCGCACCCACTTTCCTGTAACCACAAGCTTCTGCTGAACACTCTAACATTACATTTTTAAACCTACCCCATACCACTTCGACCCCATTGCCTATGCTCTCATTAGCCCATCTATCCTCCAATAGCTGTTTATATCTTACCCTAACTGCCTCCTCTTTTAGTTTATAAACCTTCACCTCTCTCTTCCCTGATGCTTCTATTCTCCTTGTATCCCATCTACCTTTTACTCTCAGTGTAGCTACAACTAGAAAGTGATTTGTTATATCTGTGGCCCCTCTATAAACATGTACATCCTGAAGTCTACTCAACAGTCTTATCTACCAATACATAATCCAACAAACTACTGTCATTTTGCCCTACATCATATCTTGTATACTTATTTATCCTCTTTTTCTTAAAATATGTATTACCTATAACTAAACCCCTTTCTATACAAAGTTCAATCAAAGGGCTCCCATTATCATTTACACCTGGCACCCCAAACTTACCTACCCCACCCTCTCTAAAAGTT